GCCCCGGGGGTGGGGGGGGGAGCTGCGAGGGGAGACCCGCCACCCCCCCGCGCAAGGTCACCTCGGCGCTGCGGCACAGCCGACCCCCTCCCCCGCGTGTCCGCGTCCCCCCCGCGTGTCCCTGTCGCCCCCGGGGACGTGGCGGGGCGGGGGGCGGCACCCACCGGAGCCCCCACCCCGCACCGGGGCGGCTCGGGGGGTGGGGGTCACACCGGGGAAATGGGGGGGTGAGGGGGGATCCCCCTCCCTGCAGGAGCGGCGCCGCCCGCCCGCCGCGTGACGTCACAGAGCGGGGCTGGCGTCACGCCTGGCGGGGGCCCCCGCATGACGTCACCGGCGGGGGGGTTGTCCCGGGGCCGCGGCTCCTTCCGGCGGCAGGATGTGGCGGGGCCGGCCCGGATGCTGCAGCCTCGCCGGGGGGGTCCCTCCCCCGGGGCCCACGCGGGTGGCTGGGCACACCCCACCCGTGATTTTATTTAGGGGTGGAACGCAGCTGCGGTGTCCTCAAGAAATGGRGGGGCACGGAGGGTGGGGGACACAACACTGCCCCACGTTTTTTGTTTTTGCGGGGAAAGCTGCAGTGTCCCCAACAGCGCCAGTATAAAAGGGGGGGGACACACGCGTGGGGGACAGCACTGTCCCGAGCGAGTGGCTAAAGTCACACCCCACCCGCCGTTGTTTTGKTTTTTTTTTCAGCGGGAGATGCGGTGTCCTCCCTACGAAAGGGAGGAACACACGGGGAGGAAACACTTCCATGCCGACTTTCGGGTGGAGAGGGAGCTGTTGTTTCCCAAACAGCCCCACAAAAGGTGGGACGCGAATGAGGGGCGGAATTGTCTCACGCGGGCAGCTGAAACCACATCCCACTCGTGGTTTGGGGTTTTTTTGGACGAGAGAGCTTCTGTGTCCCCCACAACCCTGCAGCAGAACGGGGGACACGAGGGGAGGCAGACCTGACCCTCACAGGCGGCTGAAGCCACATCCTACCCGCGGTTTGGGTTTTTTTTTGCGGGGGGAGCCGCTGTGTCCCCAGTATCCCCGCCACAAGCAGGGGAGACACGGGAGGGCAGCACTGGCCCACGCGGGTGACCGAAATCCCACCCTGCCCGTGCCATTTTTTGCGGGGGGAGAAGCCGTTGTGTCCCCACAGCCTCACCGCGAAAGGAGGGGGTGGCGGTGGTCGCCGCGCCGTGGGGGGACGCGCAGCCCCCGCAGTGGGGCCCCCGCGGGGGCCGGGCAGGGGGCCCAGGGGACACCCGGCAGAACCTGTCCTGCAGCTCCCGGCGGGGCCGGGCTCTGGGGGCTCGAAGGGAAGGGCTGAGCCCACCCTGCTCTGCAGGGCCGGGTCCTGCCCCCCGGGGTGACGGGCCACCCCCGGGACCCCCCCGGCGTTCCCGCTCTGGTGGTCCCGGACCCGCGCAGGCAGTGCTGGGGGGGCTCTGGGGGAGGTCACCTGCC